ATTATGTATATACGTACATAATACATAAGATACTTAGTAAAATGCTAGAACAATTCATTGGCGCTGTTAGTTTTAGTGTAAGATCCTAGTTTAACGTTGTGTACAGTGCCATGCTATAGGATGATATGCGCGGAGCCATGGATTCAATTATATACATACTAAAACACGTATACACAATTATTAGGCACGCAGTAATCATTGGATTTATAAGCATTATATACATAGTACATATACAAACGATACATAGTATACAAATATATATATATAATAATGCTATAGAAGGTAGTTGATGCAATGGATTTTTTTAGAATTAAGACTTAGATTAACACTATGCGTAAAGTGTCATGTTGCGTGATGTTATATTCGGATGCATGTTACATTTCATTATACGAGGATATATAATATTATTAGGCACATAGTAATCATTGGCTCACAATCTTAATGCACATAGTACCTGTCTCGTAGCATATAATAAATAGCTTAGACTTGAAAGTAATAAGGTTCAATTGGTGCTATTAATTTGATGATGCTAAATAATATTAATACAATAGCATGATAAATACAGTTAATGATCAATACAGTACATAATTTGTACTAGAACATATATATACAATACAAGGCGCATAATTACATTGAGTATAGAATCATTGGGTGCATTATACATATACATACATAAACATAACTACATGGTGATGGTACTTAGATACATTTATAAACAGGTACAGATGGTCCTGATTTACATATTGCGGTACAGATAATAGACATAATTCGTTTGGTTGGCATAATGCAAATTGATTAATAGTAGATTCTTGTATATTACTAGGAGTGTTGGATACCTTACGATAATTCACAGTTATTTGTGGTGTTGGTAGTTGGTGCTAGACACTGAATTACTATTCGTCTATATGGCTGACTAAGTATGGCACAGGTCGTGTGCAAGATCGGCAGTTTATCCATTAAAAGCCCTATTTTTCTAACCAAGTGCCCTGTTTTATCAAAAACTTACAGAAAGCTTGTCGATTGGTCGACGGAAGGTTGATTGTAGCCCTTCTGTAAGGGACAGGAGGTCAGATAATGCTCCGGAGAGCCAGTTTGTCCACAGGCGCACTGGCTAGTGTACTTATTCCCGCGTTTATTAAAGTACTCCGGGAAATGGTCCGTGACCCGTAATGTATCTAACCAATTGCATGTTTCAAAATTTTTGGTTGTGTCCACTGTAGCTGACATGGTAATAAGTCCGTATCGCTTGCCCAGGCCAACTTCCAATTGCCTTTAATCGCATGTTCTTTTCTACCTGAAAACATGGCTATGGCCAATTTGGTGGCAGCTTCTTTGGCTAGATGGTCAACCAATCATCGCCGGGTGGCCGGCATGCGCTTTGATCCATTCAAGTCTTGTATGGAGTTGGAATTTTTTCGCATCTTCCTGTATCCCTGAATAATCGGAATGGGTGGTCAGGTTTCCTATGCGTATAGCGAGAAAGACTGTCTGTCTTTATTGTAGCGTTGCGGGAGTGGGTGGGATTGCAGGTAGCGGATTGCTTGCGCAATTGCCACTGCTTCTCCCTGAAAAACGCTATTAAATTGCCTTAGTTGACCCTTCCATTGATCTATGACTGTATCTTGCAGCATGACCACATAGGCACTTCCCACGTTTTTCGTCTATCTTCGACCCGTCAGTGACGATGGTAATCTGTGCTGGACGGTGGGCCTAGTTGGATTGGTAATTATGCTTATTCCGGTGCCTTTGGCTGCTGGATGGATTTTCAGAGGGCAGCATTTAGCTCCATAGTCCCTCTGGATAAAATATTCTTCGTCAAAGGTGACAGGTCTTTTAAGCTGCAGGACGATTTGTCTTTGCTGCCTCCTCTTCGACACGGAGGGGTAAGGAGGCCAGCCAGCACGTTGATCGCGTCTGAAGAGTCGTGCGTAGGCTCTGGTGATACCAATGCAAAGGGTCTTTGAATGGTAGAAAGGTGTTTAATTTTCCTGCTTTGCATTGGGTGAGCCCATACTGCTGCTGCATAATGACTATCTTTTCCACCACTGTGTTAAGAGGACTTCTGAATATATGAGGCCCCATTTGTGGCCATGAATAATCGCATTTGGCTTCGCTATTGTCACTGTTCTAATTTTGATGTCCTGGATGTGTGGTATCCAGGTCATCTTGTGGTCGAACGTAAGGCCCAGATATTTTAGTTGATTGACTATTGTATCCTCTGATTGTTGATCTAATGGTTGGTCTTTTTGAAGAGAACCTCCCTTTTTAGGTATTAATAACACTTGGATTTGTGCTCTGCAATTTCAGTTTAAGGTTGTCACATAGGGCGTAGAATTGTTGGCACATTTCGTTACAGTGAGTGTCTAATTCTCTTCGGTTCGACCTTTCACTATTAGCTGCGTCGCCTGCGTAGGCGTAGATCTGGGTGAGCGCTGGCCATGTAGCTGTTAAAACTTCGTTGAAAGTTAGATTCCACAGTGTGGACCAGCGCACGACCCTTGTGGACAGCCTCTCGTCCTGTTCTATTATGCCTGCGTTGTGAACTGCTAGTAGTCTTCTATCCTGCAGATAGTTGCTTAGCATCTTATACAGGTTGCTCGGACATTTTACCTTCCGCAGAGCCTGTTTGATAGCCGGCCGCCATAATGTATCAAAAGCATTCTTGAGATCGATGCTTATCATGGCAGTATGGTGGCCGCTATGTCGGTTCTCTAAAATTGCTTCTCTAATGTCGAAGAGTGCGTGGACTGTAGAAGTGCCCGTCCTGTACCCGTATTGTCTCGAGCTTAAGAATCCTTGCGTATGCAAATCTTACTAAACGGAAGAGCTTGTCTATAACACAAGGTATTTACGATCCCAACGGTTTTCTCATCCCAGCATTGTTGCCAGCCAAGCTAATGATTCAGGAGGCCTGCTCAGCTAAGTCAGAATAGGATTTCCCGCTTCCAGAAAAGATCCAAAAGGACTTTCGGAAATGGTATAGTGAATTGAAACAATTATCTAACTTAAAGGTAAACAACGTATATGTTCGGAAATAAAGAAAAATGGTCTATTTTTTTGCCACGCGAGTCAATGCAATGCAGCAGTATTTTCCTGAGCTGTGAAGATAATAACAGGATTTCGGTAGAGCTTCTAGGAGCAAAATCTCGTCTGCGCCAAAAAGACTTGACATCCCGCGTCTAGAACTTCTTTCTTGTGTTTTCGGAGCCAGATTAGCAACTATATGTGAGGCTCGGAGTCCCTACAATAGTTATTACTGGACGGACTCTTCAACAGTTACAGCATGGATACCAGAAAGACCAATGGGGTACTTTTGTGGGTAACAGAATCAGAGAAATATGCAAACTCACAGAATCATACCAATGGTATCTTGTCCCAGGTAATCTAATCCGGCGGACCTGCCATCTCGTGGTTGTAGCGCAGACTCTTATCGAGACGAGATGGTGGGAGGGACCAAAATGGTAAAAGAAGAAGAAAATATTGGCCCAAATCGGAATAGATCCTAATGAAGATTTGTTTATGTAGAAAGAAAGAACAACTGCTATACCTTATTTACTTGTGCAAAGTAGATCAAGCAGAATTATGAGGAGTTCGAAATTTGTAGATTTCTAAATATTATTTGTGGTGAAAAGATTCATACCAAAGGTTAAAATAGAAATTATTTTTTCCATCTGAGCTCTCGATCAAAGAAAAGAAGAGGCAGAGAAGTCCTTTGGTCAAGAATTCAGTTAGAAATTTTGGTGCTGCCTTAGGTACGTCAAGGTCTTTGTGAAAATCAAATAACATAAACGAGTGAAAACCAAGTTGTTAGAACGTGATGACGAATTTTCGTTCAAATATCCAATTTTGTTGCCATCAAAACAATGATAACTGCATGTATAGTATCAGTGTATATGGACTATTTGAATGCCGTGGCAACTTCACTCCATTGGCTAGTACAGTAACGCAAGCAATCAATAAACTATAGGCGACAAACAGACACTTAAGCCGCATATAATAAAGATCCCCAAAACTAAGAAGTACCGGAGCAGGCGCAATTTAAGATCTGACTGTAAAAAGACCATTAATGTAAGTTTATGGGATAATACTGAAAAACAAGGTGTTTTCCAGAAAGATGGTTTGTACTATGTATTGGGTTAATAAAAACTAGCAGAGAAAAGGCATTTGTTCTACATTTTGTATTGTTATTATTTTGCTGAAAATGAATGCGAAAATTAAATTTAGCTTATAAATACCGAAAGAATAGTTGATTGTTTAAGTGATTATAACAAAGCAAGTCTGCCTGAAGAGGCATGACTTTATACAGAAAGTTCTAGGGAAAGTAATTCATATTTACGGTTCTTACAATTTCGGAAAAATCAACCAGTTTGCCAGGCGCCAAACCCCGAGTGAACTGGCAGTGCTCATTTATTTTATCCATTAGGCCATTGTTGGTATTACGTAATTAATCAACTACTGTTGATCGAAGTTTTCAGAATCCACTGACGTATGCAGGTTCTATTTATATAACGGATTTCAAAAACAAGAACAAAATTCATTTACCTTTTCTGATGCATCGTTGAATCTGACGTGATGTTTCAATTAGCAATCTTCCTTACAGAAAAAAAAAAAAAAAACCACCATTCTATTTTCTTGGCATCACAATTTTATTTACATAGAACAGTTAAAAGGAAAAAAATAATACATTTTCTTAACATGTTTACTCCAGAATTTTCCTTTCACACTGCAGCGCTTAAGTTTATGAGCCTTCTAATTATTCAATTTCGGTAGCTATGGTAACTGTACAGCCTCTCTCGCGCGCCCTCTAATGAGGGAAAAACACTTTAGATGAACATTTAACATACTCCCACCTTTAATTTATGGTGGAAGCCAGAAATTAAACATTAAAAATTAAATTTACATCATTACTCAAAAATAATAGAATGAAATAAAACTAATATCTATGAAAATTTCAAGAAAAAAAATTAAAGTTCTAAAGTTTAGTTGTGAAAAGTATTCATTCAGTTCATCAGCTGGATTACTGGGTCATCGTTCTTAGATATCTCCAAATGGCAAAGTTTACGAATCGGTCGTACAAAAGTTCCTGAAGAGGGTTTTACCTCTGCCACACGTGTACAACCATCTCTACTTGGAAACAATTTTGTGACTTTGCCTATTGGCCAGTTAAGTCTCTTTCGGTTGTCTAGTTCAATTACTACTACATCACCCGTCTGGATCACTTGAGTCTTTTCTCTTGATTTTTGAACGAGATTTGCCAAATATTCTTTTCGAAATCTATTTCTCAGTTGACCTTTTATATTTTGGCATTTCCGGTATCTTTTACGAAGTTTCTGGAAATTAATTTTCTCTAGATCAGGTATCCCAATTTCTTGGATGTCTTGAATAAAAGATGATGGAGTCAAAGGAACAAATTTATCAGATTCTTCTGAAATATGTGTAAGAAGTCGATTATTCATTACAGCTTCAACTTCACATAATATCGTTGAAAGGTCTTCAAAATTGAGTGATGATCTACCAAGTGTTCTTAGAAGAAGATTTTTTACACTGCGAATGAGCCGTTCCCACCATCCATCCCACCACGCAGCTGTTGGAGGAATGAACTTCCATTTAATGGGAGCTAGGTCTTCAGAATTTTCTACTTGACTCCAATTTAAAGATTTCAAAAGGTTGTTGGTACCTCTGAAGTTAATTCCGTTGTCGCTGTAGATTGTTGAAGTTCTTCCCCTTCTCACTATGAATCTCCTGAGGGCATAGATGAAACCTTCTGCTGACAAATTAGTCACAATTCCAAGTGTACGGCCGCGATACACAGCGCAGGTGAAAATGACAATCCATACCTTGGTTTTGTTCTTTAGAAATAGAGGACCACATAAATCGATACCCACGACTTCAAAAACTTTCGAGTGTCTGACTCGATCAAATGGAAGATGAATAGGCGGAGTGACAAACGGTTTTGAAGTAAATATTTTGCATTTCATGCATTTTTAATAATTCACTTCGGATGTTACGCTTAGCAGAAATAATCCAAAAATTTTCTCACAGAATGGAACCAGCAGTCTGGAGACTAGCATGACAGTTCTTTAAATGGCAGTCTCGTATTAAACAATTTACTACGTGATCAGCCCCTCACCTGGCTGATATCTACATGCATTATTATGAATCAAAATTGTTTAAAACTTTAAACTTCCCTGTATGGCTCCGCTACGTAGACGATACTTTTACCCTGTTTGAAGGTAATAAAGATTATTTAAATAAAGTTCTTTCAACAATGAATTCTATTGATCCTGCTATTCAGTTCACTTTTGAATTTGAGACTTGCAATTCTCTTCCGTACGTAATACTGTTTCTTCTTTGTTTTATGTAAATGAAAAATTAAGAATTTTATGGTTAAGCTTAAATAACTTTTTGAATTAAATGAGCAAAGAATTTAAACTTTTTTTCAGAGAATATTATTAAATCGAATGTTATCAGGACTACTACGCCTAATTATTTCGCCTAATTGATTTGGCAAACATGTTGGTGTCCTGAGTAGAACAGTGAGTTTACTTTTAACTATGTTCGTCGAAATTGTAGAGGGTACAACACAAGTAGGAAGGGTTTGATTATCCTTTATTCTTCACAGTTTACAGCTGCTCCCGCACTTCGGCATTCAAAGACCAGTACTTGTGGTCTGAACGTAAAAAAATAATAACTACAAACTAATTAAATCAAGTAAGAATTAAACACAAATGCTTTACAAAGATTATTAAAAGCGAAGGTTGGCCTTTTAATCTCTACGTATGTAGTACGCAGAATGCGGGAAAACTACAATACGTCTTCAGCATCAACAGGACTAAATTTCTAGCCTTAAAGGCGGACAGCAACTGACTGAAAAGCACGCGCGAAGTAAGGTGGCGAGAAGTCTCTCTCTCTTTCTCTAATCCTTCTTGGCTAAAAGCCAGAACTTAAATACTTAACAGTTTGCAAGCTCAATTTGCATACTAAAACTAGCCGCGTTTATTCTAGCCATAAGTGGAAAATAAGAGGGGACAGTAAAGTTTAAAATAAAATAAACACTAGTAAAACTTAAAATCCTTATAATGTTACTAATCATATTTATGAGTTATTTAAAAAAAATTTGAATTAATTTTTAAGACTTTTATAATTATTCTGCGAACGAAGCGAATATAAAAAATAAGTGAAATTGATACAGATAAGTAATATAAAATTATGGTAAATGCATGTTAAAACTTATGGGCAACTGTATGTTAAGTATAGAGTATGTTGGCGGAGTGCTGGTTCCGAAACAGAGACCTGTTATTACCTCTGTTCAGTTGTTCCTTTAACCCTACTCATATACGATAATGTTGAATGCTCTCAACTTATGACTGAGTGTAATTTTTTTATATAGCATTATTATACTTTTTTATTATTAAATGTATTAGTGCATTTCCCAAAGGTTAGTTACCTTATGCAAGGAATGGATTTCAAGTAACATCCTTAGCATGCTTGAGCCACTGGTGCAGAATACACTGGTTGGCTCAAGAGGATAGCCTTACTGATGGAAATGTTTGTTTAGAAGTACTGCGGGGCCTTCCAGTTTGGTAAAATCAGGGATTGAAAATGAAAGATAATAACAGTGAAACCATAATTTCTGCAAATGTTTCTCCTATTATAGTTATGATGTTAAAATATAATTTACCAATACGGAAACTAGTAGCATAAATATTTATGTGTGTTCCATTTAATTATAAGTACAGATTATGTAAAAGTTTTATTTGTGATACTCTGTGATAACAAGAACCTTCCCTGAAGAATTATGAATATGTGAACTCTCAAAGACTTTTAGACTGAAATGCTGAAAAATTTAATATAACTCTAAAAATTAATTAAAAAAATTCATAATCAAAATTTATACATTGCAGTTATTTAATTAATTATGTTGGTCAAAATTTTATGATTTACATTCATTTGCTACTGCTTTAACGCTTTAGTGACTTCTCTCTAAAAAAGCTTTTCTCTCAGCAACAACTCAGCAGAACTGAAACTTTTCTAAATGTAAACCAAAAACCTTCCTCTTCGTGAGCTTCCATATTGGATAACTACGCGCTTAGCTTGTTTTCTACGCTTTGGCCTAGCTGGACTGCAGTCTGTCTGCTCCTTCTTTCTTACTCAAAATTTATCAAAAATGTAAACTTTTGGAATAGGCATAAATAATGTGCCAATTTGCTTGTGGCCGCGACATTTATGCCGAAATAAAAGTTAATTAAATCTACCTCGCCTGTACCATAAAATCTTTTATATTTTGACTAATAGCAAATCACTATTTATTTTATTCTGTTCATCGGCATTACCAATCCATTATCTATAGTTTTTATTACACCTTAATGTGTTTCTTCAAACGGACGCGTCTGGAAATTGGAACAGAGAATTGAGACTAAAGATTTTGGCAAACTTTTTTTTCAATTAATTTATAAAAAGTGTTTCGTATACAGTTTCAGCTGTCTGTTTTAGCGAAACGCGATATGGAGTTAGCTTTGATTCGAAATTCATTAAAAATAATTTCCCCTGAAAAGCCATGAGATTCGAATTAAGCTAATCTACCATTTACCGCTTCTTAGTTTTTATATTTTTGTTTAATCATTTGTTCGGACTTTATTCTAATGTTTTAAATATGCCTTACTTTGATTAGCATATTGCTTACTATTAGTATTGATTCTTATTTGTAAATATTCAAATGTTTGGATTGTTTATTTTATCTTTGTAACACATTTTCATTGCACCTTATTTTGCTTATGTTAATAAAAGTGTTGCATAAGACTTAAGCAAAAATACAAAAACAAAAAAGCGGTAAATTAGCCCAATTCGAATCTCATTACTCACTCTTCAGGGGAAATTTATAATGATTTTCGAATCCAGCTAATTCCATATCGCATTTCGTCGAAACAGACAATTGAAACTAGTCAAAAACAATAGTCTCAATTCTCCGTTTCATTTCCGGACGCGTCCGCTTGAAAATGCGAATGAAAAAACACATTAATGGTGTAAGAAAAAACTATACATATTGGTCTGGTTAAGCAAATGTATAAAATAAAATAAGTAGCGATTTGCTATTAGTCAAAAATACAAGATTTTTAGGGAGGACCTACTCGCTTTTGGAATTTAAACTTTGTGAACGAAGTTGAAAAACAAAAAAATTAAAATAAAAATAAAAAGCGAAGAAAATTAAAAGAATTTCGTGAGTCTTGCTATGACCAAAAATTAATACAAGGGAAGAAATATTTTTTTTTTTTTTTTTTCAAAAAAACAGACCTGGACCGGTGACATCTTGTACGAGCCGTGTTTATATATTACGAAACCATAAGCTGATAGACAGAGGGCGCTGACTAACAGCACTTGAGCAATGTAGATGTTTTTGAAATAAAAATAAACAGTTGAGAACTGAGTAATGGAAAAAATGGTCCTATGCAAAACCAGATGAAGAACTGTAACAAATTTTTGGTGATCTATATGCTTTGTAAATAGACTGTAATAAAGTTTGTTCTAATAGCTTCACATTATTGAATTCACATCATCGGCAGTCAGACTGAACTAAGTACAAAGTAAATTAAAATTATTAATTTGATATTTTGTATTTTTACGTAAGGTAACAAAATGGCGTCCGCGACAGGATGCCGGGTAGCGCCAGAGTGTCGCTAAGGTAAACAAATATAATGAATCTTAAAGAATGCATTTTTTCTATTGTGGTTTATGCGCTATTGACGAAGTAGATTTACTTCAATTCAATAATTTAAAATGCAAGGGAAAATGCATATACAGTCAAAAGTCTTTAATCCGGAGGTCCATAATCCGGAATGATCTATAATCCGGACCTCAAAGCTAAAACCTTTCTGCGTATAATACGTTTACGCATGCGCGTTTAATGTATAACGCACGGTATAAGCTAAGCTAAAATTATCTATTTCAGTTAATGTTGCAGATTGCGCTGTTCCTTAATCTTCTAATTGGATCCGGCTTATTATTTTTTGCAGACTGTTAGAGCAATTTTATAAAAGTAAGCTTGAACTTTCGATTATGCCAAAAAGAACTTCCGATTCTGGAGCTGCCAAAGGATCTACAAAGCGAAAGCATGTTTCGATGTCCATCAAACAAAAAGGGGAATTGCTGCAAAAAAAATGGATAAATGCATATCCTTTGTTTCTCTAATCATTCCGAAATCTGTTTATGAATTTCACGCTGCTCTGCCTTGTGTGTGGGGGGTGGGGGGAAACATCGCGGCGCACAATGAACTCACTATCCTTATCTTCAGGGCAGATTTTTTATTTTATTCTTATAATTCCTTAAAATTTTGATACCCTTTAGATCATAATTGCTCTTTATTTCATAAATTACGGTTTCATATTTTAAATTTTATAATTTCTGCATGCCATCTTACCAGATTTAAACTGATAATCTATAATCCGGAATCGCCGAAGTCCCGACGAGTCCGGATTAAAGACTTTTGACTGTAATTTAATATTCTGTACATGGAAGTTATGTGGCGTACACATTAGATTTTTTATTAGGTGCTACTATAGCATATCACTTGGATAATGTGGAGGAGGAAACTAAAGAAATAGCCAGGCAATTGAAAGAATAATTTTTCGTCGATAATTGCGCGACCAGTTTCAACAGTTTATGAATTTGGCAAAACGGATAATGTCAGATGCTAAGTATGCGCTTCGGGACTGGCAGTACAATACACCTGAAAAAAAAATGATGATCCTGGATTATTCTCGGAAACTGCACCTTCTTTAAAGGCAAGCGAAAATACAATAAATTGTATTTCTGTATTGGGCCTTGTATGGGATGTAAAGGAAGATACTTTCAGCTGTGACACAAAAATATTTTCTGCTCAAGAAGTACCATTAGTAACGAAAAGGAAAATTTTATCTTTAGTAGTAGCGATTTTCAACCCGATTGGATTCTCTTGTCCTTTGACACTACTTCCAGAATTATTATTACAAGAATGTTGCTCTCGTAAAACTCTCGTGGGATCAAGAAAGGCCAGAGAATATTTCGAAGAAGTTTAATTTATGGCGTAGTCAAATTCTTGAATTGAAAGATTTTAAAATTCCTCGTTGGACTGCGAAACGCTCTCAAATTTATGAGCCTGATAAATGGAGTCTGCACGTATTCTGTGATGCCAGCAATATGGCCTATGCAACATGCATATTTATTAGAATATAAAATAATGAAGGCGTACAGTCAGTTAGTGCAAGCTAAGTCCAGAAAAGCTCCGAGTGACAACAATACCTCACTTAAAATTATTAGCTTGCTTAGCTGGTGCTGACTATCTGCAGTGGTACGGAGAGACTTACATCTAACGATATTAAGGTAACCAATTTTAACGTAAACCCCATACCATTACCAGAGGAGAGAGTAGCAGACTCTGCAGTTTTCCAGATTACGGGTGTCGATTTGGCTGGACTTTTTGAGCCCAGAAAAAGGCATGGATAGTGATATTTACATGCGCAGTTTATCGAGCAATACACATTAAAATTGTTACTATACACACAAAAGCATTTATGCAACACCTGAGAAAATTCATAGCTCGAAGAGGAAGACCAAGTATTATACGAGGCACGTCTAGAAAGTAAGTTCCGTTTCAATTTATCTTCGCTGCAGCTCTGCGATCGCAGTTCCGCACATACGCAGTAGACGCTCTGTATCAAGGAGAAGAAACGCGCGTCATTTGGAGATCGCTGTCAGTACGTACGCTTTGTTGTGCTTGTTTACAATGTCGGTGTTGATTGAAAATCCCGCCGCTTGTGAAATCAGATCTGTGATTCGTTTTCTGAATGCGAGGAAAATGAAACCTAGTGAAATTTATCGGCAAATTTGCGATGTTTGTGGACCAAAAGAGGTGAGTGATTCAATGGTGAGAAGATGGGTTCGAAAGTTCAATGACGGACGTGGTGATGTGCAGGATGAAGAACGAAGTGGGCGTCCATCTTTGGTTACAGAAGAACTGGTTCATGCGATTGATGACAAGATCCATGAAAACCGAAGGTTTACAATTAGTGCTCTCGCTATGGAATTTCCCCAAATTTCACGATCACTGATGCATGAAATTGTTACAGAAAAATTGAAATTTTGTAAACTTTGCTCACGTTGGGTACCAAAGATTCTTACTGAGCAACACAAAACAAAACGGATGGGTAAGTGCACTTAAGTTTTTGACCCGTTATGCTGAAAGCGGCGAAGAATTTCTGACACAGATAAGTCACAGGAGATGAAACTTGGGTTTCTTACGACACCCCTGAAAGTAAGCGGCAATCAATGGAATGGAGGCACACTTCATCCCCAGCAAAGGTTAAGCCGAAGCAAATCTTGACACCTCGAAAAATGATGTGCACAGTGTTCTGGGACTGGAAAGGCATCTTACTCATTGATTCTTACCGCGTGGTCAAACCATCAGAGCAGATGCTTATTGCGAGACACTTGAGAAATTGCGCCGCGCAATACAGAATAAGCGCCGAGGATTGCTGTCAAAAGGTGTTGTTTTTCTTCACGACAACGCACGACCACACACTGCAAATGTGACGAAAAACCTCCTACAGGGATTTGGCTGGGACGTGTTTGACCATCCTCCGTACAGTTCTGACCTCGCTCCTAGCGACTTTCATCTGTTCTTACATCTTAAGTCTTTCCTTGGCGGTCAACACTTCAACAATGACGACGAGCTGAAAGAAACTGTTTCCAACTGGTTGAAGACACAGGCGGCAAATTTCTATGAAGGTATACAAAAACTTGTGCCACGCTATGACAAATGCCTGCAATATTTCGGCAGTTATGTGGAAAAGTAATTTAAGAGTTGTTGAATTTTGCGCAATAAATAACTTTTCTGTAGCTGTACACAATTTACTTTTATTACCAAACGAAACTTACTTTCTGGACGTACATTGTATATTCAGGCAATTGTACTAACTTTATGGGAACTAATAACCTTTTTTTAGAAAATTAATTGTAAGGAAGTGGAGGGAAAAGCCACGATTATGATAATTAAATGGAAATTTAATTCTCCTATATCGGCATAGTGGGGAGGATGGTGGGAAAGACTGGTTAGAATTATAAGGACATGTTGAAGAGTATTTTAGGCAGGACAAGCCTAGATTACGAAGAATTATTCACTGCATTATATGAAGTTGAAAATGCCGTCAATTCCCATCCTTCGACATACATATCAGAAGACATTCAACATTTAATGCCCTTAAATCCAAATACGTTTAACGGACAATGTAGAAGCTCGAGGTTTTTCATTTCTGCCGCAATAATATTTCCAATTGCTGTGGCAGTTTCAGTTGCTTCGTGATAAATGGGTTGACAAAAAAGCTCACTGCTGGCTCTAGTCAACTGAAGTCTTGAAATCGCTTTTCAAATTGGTCCAGAAGCGTATCAATGGCAGGAAAATCGCAAGGACCGAAATTGTCGTCAATCGCCATTTTTGTCATGTTTGGAAAATGAACCAGGGACTTTGATCTCATTTCAGACATCCATTATGTCAATTTGGCTTTGAAAGTTTTTACAGATCCCATCATTTGTGCCAGCTCCTTATCTTTACCCTGAAGATCCAGACTTAAAATGTTGAGTTTCTCAGTGATATGTGCGAGGAAAGGCAGAACAAGTAGCCACAAAGAATCACTTAGTTTTTCAATGTGTTTACTAAATTTGTCAGGGTTAGATTGCATGAACTCTTTTATCAGCTCGATTAGAGATAAAAACCTTGATAGAACTTTACCTCTGCTGAGCCATCGGACTTCTGCATGCAAGATGAGGTCAACTGTTTTCTCTTCAGTCTTCCAGCAGTGCTTTAAAAAGCCGGTGTTGAAAAGAAGCCGCACGAATAGAATTGATAATCGACGTGATAAAATTCATGATGCGTTCAAATGGAAGTATCTTTGCGCACAACGCTTCTTGATGAATGATTCAGTGATAAGACATGACGTTTGGCAAACAACTCGCCTTTCTTGAACAAAGCAACAAAGTCGTTGGTTCTTCCGGTCATGGCGGCAGGTGCTCCGTCTGTGGTAACTGTAATAGCTTTTTAACCGGAAATCCAATTTCTGCCGCAAACCTCTTAAAAATGTTGTAAATATCCATTCCTCGCATTATCTTCAAAGACAGACTATTTAATAATAGTTCTTTAACAGAAAAGTCGTTAAATACCATTCTTATCATAACAGCTAACTGCGACGTGTCGGAAATATCCGTGGACTCATCAAATCAAGAGAAAAACCATTCACATGTTTCCAAGTCTCTCTTTAGCTGACTGCATGTCATCAGCAATTGCTTCTATTCTGCTTAAAACAGTGCTGCCTGATAAATAAAGGTCCTGAATCGCATTGATGATTTCACGCTTGTAAGAGAATCTATCAAAGAGGCTTTTGGCATCTGCAAGAAATGCTTTTTTCAGCAACCCACTGTCTTGAAATAGTTTTTTCTTCTTTGCCAGCAAATGAGCAATTTTAAACGAAGCCAAGCCGTTGTTGCATTTTTTTACTTTGAAACTGGCCTAACAAAGTGATTTCTGCGCTGAAAGCTTCAATTTCAGCTCATATACTTTCTTCTTCCTAATTTCCGAACCCTCTGGGCAGTTCGTTGCAAATGTTCCTTGATTCGTCTGAAAGTGGCATTCCACATTATGTTTCTTGGCCAATGCTACAGAAGCCCCACACAGCAAACACATGCACTTCCCATTCACATAAACAAATCAATAAGTTTCTTCCCAACTGGAATTGTAATTTTATATATTCTGCCTTTTACTGGGCCCATTCATAGTGCTTCAGGGGTAAAAAAAAATCAAATCGCTAAGCTCCGACGCAGAATGAGGATGCCGAACAAGACCGAGTGCACCACTAACACTATCATTGCCAAAAGCTTTCAAAGAAGACTGGTGAAGAACGTGGGTCAAAAGTTTGCCTTTGCACTTTGTTAAATACTTAATATAATTGTGTCATACAGTCAAGGGTTGACTCTGACCTGCAGTTCCCTAAACTTTTGTCAGCCCTTTTTGATGTGGTGAGCCTTGTAATACCGTGCCCCGAATCTTAAAACTTTATCGTCCTAATAACCAACGAGGATGCCGGGTCATTACAAAAACATAATACAGAAATTACTCCTTTCGGTGAAATTTTCGACCTTCTCAGTAGCTTCGTTCAAGGTCATGTACAGGCATTTCTCTCTCTTTTCTAAGATTGGCCAGGCCCAAGATTGGCGCACGTTCGTATTGTCATTTTAAACTGGACAGAGGCGACAAGAAGGATTCAAGTTAAGACTTGCCATCACCCTCGATGTTTCCGAAATCCAAGACAAAGCCAATCAAGTTTTTAACCCCTTCCCTGCCAAACCCCTCTACGTGCAATCCCAAGAAGGACTGCTGCAGCAAAAAAACGTTTTTTTTACCGAAGCTTGGCGGGCGCTATGCCATTCCTCCAGACAAGTCGCGGTAGATTAAAAAAATTGGTGTATTCGTACCATCATCAAAGGTGGGGGAAAAGCAAGGCCGAAACCTCAGTACAAGCTGAATTTTCTAACGCGTGTGTTACCTCCACCTAAGGTGCCTTAGGGACTTCATTCATATGCTGCTGCGTTCACACTTCACCTTCAGGAAGCTGAAGAAGCATCTGGGCTAATCCGAAAGTAGTTATAAATTTTTCTGTAAATATTGTATTAAAAATACCAACTCTATTACAACACCCCCCTTGGTGACATTTGAATCCAAAATCTTTTAACTCCAGAAGCCAACGCCATTAGGCAACAAGAGCAATCTTAAATTGATCTATATAGATTTTTAAAAGAATTCAAAATCTGGGATTTCGAAATCCATCACTATTGTCTCACAACTATTGTTTTAGATTATTCTGAAAAAATTATCAACCATATTTCATTTATGGTTGATTATTAGGGTTTATTACTGCTAATAAACTTGAGTATTTTCCTTTAAATAATTTATAAAGCTATTTTATTAGCATATTTATTAGCTATTTATGTATACAGGCATATTATATGTGATTTTAAATGTGTATATGCATATTTTATGCGAAATTTTTATTACGATTAGCCCACGACTTTTTTCTCCCTCAAGCGGAAATCCTTTCAATTAACATTTGTTTTATGAATTACAATCATATTGAATTAAAAATTTAACATTTTTCTTTTATCTTCATTTCTTTTTAACTATAGACCTAACCCATTTTTTCAATAGGAAGTTAACTTCGCAGAATGTAATACTGCATACGCGCCAACTATTAATGACATAACCCTCATGCTTGACAAGGGTTTATTGAGGTGCATGCTAGTTTGGCTATGACGACACATGATGCACTTTTTTCTCAAAGCTTTACAAATAATTATGTCATTATATAACAGACACAATAATTCATTCTGCTTTCAATGCACAATTTTTGAGGTTCACACTTGAAAATGACATTGCATTGATGAGAAATAAATAAGAAAACTAAATATTGCACAGCTCCACTAAAGCAAAACTACTGCCACCACTTAATCTATGGTAAAGGCCAGTAAAACAAGAATACGTGAAGCATGTAGCACTTGTATAGTCATTATCCACAAGTTTCAAACTCGACAATTAGCTGCTGCGTTACAAACTGTAATTTGATTCATTTGAATGTTTTTCCTAAAAAAAAAATACTGAGCAGCTACAATTTTTTTTTAAAAAAATATTTCAATGTTAAAAAAGAAAAAAAAAAAAAAAAAAAAAGAAAAAAAAGAAAAAAGAAAAGAAAACTTTTATTCATCACATTTTTCTTTCATATCACAATCCTTACAGTTGTGATAGCTCCCTAGATTAGAAATAAAAAAAAATTTTTTTAAATTACATAAACTGTCTACACCAGTGGTGCCCAACTTTTGGCTTATCGCGAGCACATTTCCAAAACATCAACATTTTTGTTAAACATATTTCCAATCTTATGCGACATATCTGAAATATTAATTTCAGCAAATGGTTCGAGATTAATAATATTGGTTGAACTTTATAGAAATCAGAGAAGCGGAGTTCAAAATTATTTTTCAGTAACAGTTAATTATTTAGGTTTCCCAAATATTTTTCTCTTTCAATTGCCTTGTGGTTGGTTATTAATGTGGTTTGATAAATTCTGAATATGGGTGAAATTTTTTTCATTCATCTGATTTATCCACAAATTTAACTTTATCTGAAAAGCAGTTGCAGTCCCAGTGAATTGAAAAAGGGTTTTTTTTCCTTTTCCCTCAAGATCTTTGTTCAGTTTAGCTGTTATATCCTTCAGAAAATACAGATCGGATAACACATTATTATTGTCCAATTCTTTACAACTTTCGTTTCCGGATTCCAAAAACTGCTTTATTGGCAAAAGAAGTTCTACAAATCGTTAAATTACTTTTTCCCTGCTGAGCCATCTAACATTGGAATGAAGCAGTAAGATTCTATATTCACTACCAAGTTCACAAGTCAGCAATCAATTATTTTACATCTTGAAAGATACCTCTTATGACTATAAATGCTTACCATATTTTAACAATTAAGAAATATAAATGAATGGTTATTTTTATTTATTTATTTTTGTTCTTGTTCATAGTACCTGATCAGGCTGGTGAGCACATACAAAACAATCGGCGAGCACAAGGTTGGGCACCGCTGCTCTACACTGTCAGCACATATTTCCAGCATAAGGTAGGTTCAAAAAACAAATAACACTCTAATTATGAATTCTGTCGTGACTAGTTCCTACGCTTGGTTTGCTGAATACACTTAGGTTTTTAACTTGCAGAAGTTCCGTCATGAAAATTGCAGTACATTCAAAAGTCGTTAATCCGGACTCGTCGGGACTTCGGCGATTCCGGATTATCGATTTTTCCGGATTACAGATCATCAGTTTAAATCTCGTAAGATGGCATGCAGAAATTCTAAAATTAAAAATATGAAACCGTAATTTATGAAATAAAGAACAATTATGATCTAAAGGGTATCAAAATTTACAAAAAAAAAAAAAGCTTAATATTTATTTGTTTACTTTATTAAACATTTCTTTCAATGTAAGTTGTTTAAGTTGCTTCATTTTATGTGATAATACTTTCTCTTTAATTCTATAAACAGACATAATTTCTTGTTCAGTTACAAAGTTCCGCTGTTCAAGTCCCGTTAATTGCTGTGCCGAGAATACCGACTAACTTGTCAATCGAAATTTTTTCGTTTTCACTAACCTCTCTGTCACATTCTTCATGTCTTTATCCATTTTTTGCAGCAATTCCATTTTTTGTTTGTTGGACATCGAAACATACTTTCGTTTTGTAGATCCTTTGGAAGTTCCAGCATCGGAAATTCTATTTGACATAATCGAAAGTTCAAGTTTACTTTTATAAAATTGCTCTTACAGTCTGCAAAAAATAATAAGCGGGATCCAATTCGAAGATTAAGGAACAACGCAATCATTAACATTAACTGAAATAGTTAATTAGAGCTTACACCGTCCGTTATACATTAAACGCGCAGGCGAAAACGTATTCTGAACTTGCGCACACGCATATGCGCAGTAGTCAAGGTCTTACGCGCACGCGTAAAAACGCCTGCGCGCATGTGCCAACGCGGCGCATGCGCAGAAAGTTTTTAGCTTTGAGGTCCGGATTATGGGTGTCCGAATTAACGACTTTTGACTGTATTAAGCCAATTATATTATTACTGCATAGAGTTTTGGTAAGATTTACTGTCTTCTGCTATAAAAACAAAAGTACTTGTTGATCACAACAAAATTATGACAAATATTAACTGCTTAGCAGCTTTGCCTATAGATCATACGGGCAAACCCCCCTTTTTTTTTCCCACAGCCTAATTTGCTTATATATGGTATTTTGGACTATCCCATATTATTTATTTCAGTTTACTTCTGTTTCTAGCTTTTGTTATTCAGTGAATTTAAGGATACTGTTTCAAAAGCATTTGCCACAATAAATTCAAAATTTCAGTCTATAATATAAACAATCTTATTATCGCTTCGCTAGAAACACATGCCAAAGTCAATACTGGATAATAGCACTTCTAAAGAATTACTAATGCCAACCAGCGAAAACAACTTTGAAGAAATAAAGAGATAGCTGGCAAAGCATAAACAGGGTTCGCACACTTTTCTGCATACAGAAATTAAGTACTTTTAAGGACCATTAATGGAAAAAATTAAGGACCTATGAGCAAATGGGAACTGAATAAATTCAATTAAAAATATTATCTATGCCTGAACTTCACTTTTTAATACCATCCTAAAAATAAGATAGATCCGTAAGTAGGATGCATTATTATTATTAAACATAACGTAATTAACATAATTATTGCTAAGTTTGAGAATTAAAGAAACTTTATGAAATTTATCAAGTAGCATTAAATATTTCACATTTGTAATAATTGGACATATTTGAAAGAATATATATGACATTTTATTTAGGTTTTACCAATAGTTAGCTTTATGTCACATACTTGATCAATCTGAAGGTTTGGTAAAAAGTAAGTAGATTTTTATGTCAGGTGTGATAGGTTAAAATGAGAAGTAAAATCATAATCAGAATGATTCAAAACAAAAGACTGGCTGTTGTCACCGCTCCTGCTTGCCTAGAGAGAGACCTGCTGATCAGAGCAAACCTGAAAAGCCTGATGTAAGCAGGGTTCACAAGTTTTGAAAGTCAGCTGGGCTCTGTTTGATCCAGTTAGCATCGTAGCTTTGTGTAGAGTTCCAGGGTTGCAACTCAGTTAACGCTTTGATGCACGGTGGTCGCGCCCTGAAACCACCAATTTTCAAATTTTTTTCTCCTCTTCTTTAAAAAATTTTTAAGTGAAAATCAATTGATTACTGATCTTTTACCTCTAAAAAAAAAAAAAAAAAAAAAAAAAAAAAAAAAAAAAAAAAAAAAAGACTGCAGAATTATACGGTTTAGGTCTTAGTAATTCAAATCGGATGCCTTTTAAAATTCGTTTTCAATGAGACAAAATAACTTCCTTTGATTAATATAAACAACTTTAAATTTCAAAACTTATTCATCGCACATCATGATTTCTATCATAAACAATAAAAAATAGCAATGATTAAACTGCATTTATAAAAAAACACCCTCTATATTTATGGCATTTGCTTTGTGGTTTCAGGGTGCGACTTCTGCGCCACTAGAGCATTAGTGGCGCATTCTAAGTTTCATTTAAATTAAAAAAATATTTTGGGACGAAATGCGAACAAAGTATGAACGGGAAACGAATGATCCGTACCAAAGCCAAAAAGGAACCCCCATTAGCATAAAATAATACAAATTTCATGTTCCAGATGAAAAGAAACTAAATAACATTGGACATACACCAGTGAAATTTAGATCCAGGCAGTGTACATTTTGTAGCACAAGGAAGAAAACTCATAGAAGATGCATGTGCCAAACGTGCAATGTGGGTCTATGCATGTACTAAAAAGACAAAACATGCTTTGAATAGTGTCACAAAAATATTTTTGAAATAAAAAAAAAACAGTCATTTTTTTTTATCTTTATTTTATTGAGTTTTATCCATTTAGCCAAACGTCCTTATTATGTAGGTACTTATATTTTCACAGCTATAGAAAAATTACGTAAATGTTTATTAATTTTTTCTGACAATTTACTTTGTAAATTAATGTAAAAAATTACATACAATGCAATTCTTATACATTTTTTTTTTTTTTTTAAATTCGTAAATTTCGTCATTTATTGGAAACGAACATGAAGAAAGGTAATTCCCCTCCCCTACTACCTCAGTGAATTTAACATTTTGACTGCAAATCACGCGCCAGCGCGTGACGTTTTGTTATCAGCAAGGAGCCAATCACGCGCTAGCGCGTGATGTGATGTCTCAGCAGCCAGTCACGTGCTGGCGTGGGAAAATCCTATACTTGTTATTAATTTTCCAGTTAGTTCATTTGGCATCGCATGCAGGACATTTCTTCTGGTATTAGCATGGATTGAAAATTAGAAACTACGTATAAATAATCGCGATTTCGAAATTTTTTTATTTTTTATTGAAAGTATAATCTTTTAGCATGAGTTATAGACATGATCGCCTTCGCGCCCCCAAAAAAGAAAAGTTCAATATAAAAAGGCTCTTTCGGATGATGAAATAGCAGATTTGTTGGCCGAGTATCGGATGAGTACCCGAGCGATTTTAATTATGACAATGACGAAGAATTCATTCCTCCGACTGGTACCCACGATATTTCGGATTCTGATGATGATGAAGAACGAATCGTACAAGAGGCTGCATATCAGCAGGATGATTCAACTATGGCGGAAAACGATTCAACGTCAATGAAAAAATTTCCTTTCAAAAAATCAGTGTTTGCTCCAACCTGTTTCAGGTAACAATCCTATAGATTTTTTTCATCATTTTTTCACTGATGATATCTTGGAAGAAATAGTTGCTGAAACTAATGATTATACTCATAAAGTACTTTTTCGCAAGGAAAAAAAGAAACATTCTCACATCTATGCTTGGAAGAGCACCACAAAAGAGGAACTCTTGGTATTTGTGGGATTGATCATACATATGGGAACAATCCGAATCAACCGTATACAAGACTACTGGAAAACAGATTTACTGTTTGGTTTACGTGTATTTTCAGAAAATATGAGCAGATTTTTGTTGTTACTGAGGGCATTGCACTTCGCAAGTCCCAGATCAGAATACAGAGCTTTCAGAGGATCGACTGTATAAAGTAAGAGATATGGTGAATTTGTTCAATGCGCGAGTATCTGAAATATATTACCCAGGGTGTGAGATTAGTTTAGATGAATCGATGGTATCGTGGCGTGAACGGCTTATATTCATACAGTATATACCATCACAAATATGGTATCAAGTTGTACATGATCACAACCTCTGATGGTATATGGTTCCGAAATTCATGATATATACAGGCATGTTGGATGATTCTGGTGGAAAAGAATATGCAAAATAAGTCGTTATGAATTTACTCGAGGGAATGCTGGATGTAGGACATAGCATATTTATGGACAATTATTATAACAGCTATGAACTGTCAAAATGTCTTGCTGATAGGAAAACTCATTGCACTGGGACAATCAGAAAGAACAGAAAAACATTTCCGAAAGAGGTAAACGAAAAAAAAAACTGAAGAAAGGGCAAAATGTAGCGAAGTATGCTAATGGTGTGATGATTGCAAAGTGGCAGGATAAGATAGACGTCACATTTCCAATGAATATAAAAATGATATGGCGGAAATAATAAACAAAAGAGGTGAAATTAAATTGAAACCTCTACCTGTAATTCAATATAACAAATTTATGGCCGGTATTGATAAGCAAGATCAGATACTTGCTTATTATCCTTGTGAGAGAGAAACAATTAGGTGGCCCACGAAAATATTTGTGCATATTTTGCAAATAATGATGAACAATTCCCACTTTATCTATAATAAGTATTCCAATGAAAATACATCACTGTATGATTACCGTTTATCCACGATACGAAGTTTACTGAACCAGCCATCTGATCTTCGTGCTCCTGTGTGTGATAAGTCTGAATCTGAACATGCGTTGAGTACACGGGAAGAAAAAAAAAGGAAGGAAAATTTCTAAGAAAGCAATGCAAAAGTTGCTATTCCCAAGGGAAACGTAAAGATACAACATATGTTAGATTGTTCAAAGATAATACACAAATAACATTCTAGATGTATCTGTATAATGTCTTTGTAATTTTCTTGTTATAAATTCCTTTGTAATATGTTTGTCTGTAATACATATTGATATAAAAATAATGCACACTGTCACTTATTTTTCTTATTTAAATTTATTTTTTACATTCCACGCGTCAGGGCGTAATGTGGCATTTGGGGAAAATTTTGACATGTAGTGCCAATTACGCACTGGAGCGTAATTAAAGAATTCTTTAATAAAACTTAAGTATCGCATAATTATCTTTTATTAATATTTTTAAATCATATTTCTTATAATAAGTATGTTGGCATCTGGATACAATTTACTTCCATATGGGTGGCAATAACTATAAATCTAACTCTAGTGACCGGCAGTCAATGTGTTAAAAATCCTAGACGTGCGGTGGTTTCACAATGTGACCACTACCCACAGAACAGTAATAAGTAATTAAATTAGGTACAAGTAATAAAATTGGGTAATTCTTAATCATGGATTTACATAGGCACTAATATATTTTATTTATTTTTTAATGATATTTGTTAAAAAAAGCCTCATTAAAATCACAAACTACTAAAATTTCACAGTTTATAAACGATATTAGGATAATTACACATTAAAAGCTACATATGTTTTGTAGCAACAACACTCAACAAAATATTCATGTGCTTTTTTAATTTGAAGCCTTCCCAGACATTTTGGCTAATTTATATCCATTTCCCTCTCTTTAAGCATCTTTTCTAACAGTTTAAAATTTGACTCAATATGCAAGAAAATGTTCTCGTTAATTTCTGCGTGTCTTATCTCCTATCAACCTCTCCAAAATGTACCTCTGAGGGTTTACTTGATCTAGTAAAAGTTAACAGTCCCCCTCCCAGACAGATGTAAAGCAAATGTCTGAAAGTAACTACGAAGTCAGACAAAAATTTAAATAAGCTTCTTATTTAAAAAGAACTTAGAACATATAGGTATGTTCTTATGCTAACAAAATCAATTACAGCTTGTAGTGATGTAATTAAGCAAGAAGAATCAAATTCAAATTAAAAATATGGACTAGTGATCAAAGACTATATAATTTAATTTCATTTTAAGCTGGCTCAGTAACTCTAATAACAAATTCAAATGTCGGCAGGGGTAACGTAAAGACGAATAATTACAACTTATCAGAGCTGGCAGGAAATAATGCAAGGAGCAAGTGGAGGTCAGAAATACACTCTTGTCATGTACTCCAAAAAAACCTCCGTTTACAAACTAAGTGATTTGCATTCTGGTGAGAAAATATAAATGGAAAATTATAGTAAAAGCTGAAAGTGTAAATAACTAAATAATTCACGTAATATCCGAACACAATTTTGAAGAATAAGTTTCTTTCTTCCACATTTCCTTTTTATTTTAGAATTTTTGGATTTAATTAAAGATTTCTGTTATTCTAAAATCACTAAATGCATTTAGAATGTATAGAGAAAGCTAATTTTATTTCTTTAGGCATACGAGTACAATCGTACTTCTCCTCGCCTCATAAACTACTTATCTCTGACAGTCAGAATTATGAAATATATATGGTAAGGTCTGTTTACAGAGCTGGTGTGGCAAAATTTTTAGAATTTAGCCAGAAATATTTTGGGAAAAAAAAAAAAAATTCAGAGGGGGGGGGGAAGTGTAAAATTAATTTTATAGAGAAAAGTGACACATATTTTGAGAATTCTGAATGTTCTGAGACAGTTACATGGGAAAACTCTTACCGTGAAAAAACTAAAAAGACATTTTTAATTAATTACACTGGTTATCATAAATTAAGGAAAAACCACAAAAATAGCGATAACTCCCTCAAAAATAAGCCAAACCGTGTAAAATTTGAATATGTTGCCAAGTAAGAGTAGCTGAGTAAAACTGCGATATACAAATTAGTGGCGCTGCTTTCGGAATACGTGATCTGCGAGAAGCATAAAAGCAAGCCCACATATTTCACTGTGACAGTGACATCAGAAATCTGAGATAGCCAATTCGTAACAATGACCTCCAGGCATCATTTGCCTGCAGAACTGCGATGGAGAGCCATTGGGAGACTAGAGGCAGGACAAAGTCAAACAGAAGTGGCCAGATGGCTAAATGTGAGTCCTTCTGTGGTTCATAGACTTTAGAGGCAATTTCAAACCACAGATTCGGCATCTAGGAGGTTCAGCCAAGGACGGCCAACTGCTACGACGAGCGCCGATGACCGATATTTGACATTATGTGCACGCAGGAATAGAACCGCTACTCCTACTTTTCTTAGATCCTCCATTACTGCAGCCATCGGAATGTTCGTGTCAACGTCAACTGTGCGTAGGCTTCACGAAGGTGGTCTGTATGCGAGGCGACCAGCCATTTCTGTGCCGCTCACGTCACGCCATAGGAGGGACCGTTTTCAGTGGGCATAACAAAATGTCCACTGGACGCCTGATCAATGGAGGGCAGTTCTCTTTACGGATGAGTCCAGGTTTAGTCTAGAAAGCGACAGTAGGCGTTATTTGATATGGAGAGAACCTAGAACCCGTTATCATCCGTCAAAGTTAATGATGCATACGGAAGGGCAGTGTGTCTGTGTTTGGGGTGGCATCTCTTTGGGCGGACGCACAGACCTCTATGTCTTTCCAAAGGGAACCGTGAATGCTCACATCTATGGAGATGACATCCTTGATGTTTATGTGCGCCCATATGCCGGGGCAATAGGTGATGCTTTCCTGTTACAGGACGACAACGCAAGACCACACAGGGCTCGCATCGTAGATGATTATCTTCAACAGGAAACAATTATGCGCATGGAGTGGCCAGCTCGATCCCCGGACTTGAATCCTATCGAGCGCGTTTGGGATGCTATAGCCCCTTCGCGACGGGTAGCGCAAACGCGCGCTTATCGCGGAGGTCGGCAGTGTCTTCCGCGAGCGTCTCTCCAGGGCCGGGGGCTTTTTTGCTACTAAGCCTAAATCCATGAAATTTCCGAAGTATCAACGCGTTGTTTAATAATGCTCTATAGAGTATTTAAACGGCTTATGCTTTATAGATATTTTTATATATACTTTAACTACCTTATTTCTTGTTTAAATGCATATTTTACACATTTTATTTTCATTACTCACTATTTGTGATTTTTTAACATATACATCTGAAAATTAAATATATTACTTAAAATTCTCTTTTCGTATGAAAAATTTGAAAACATGGATCTACACACAGTCCTATGTTACATTCCTTGCACTCCTAATAAATCATTTGCCGTTTTGGAGGATTTTAAAAAATTTTCGGGAATTGTGGATGACCATGGACGAAGCACTTGCTTTCGATGTACTCGGCATGCAGATATCCGAAATGTCCTCATCATCATTTGATTCGCCAGATTCTTTATGAACAGAAGTATATCATAGAGTCACTATCACTACTATCAAAACCTGTTTCAGAATCAATATCTGAAATATTTTGCATCATTTCTGCTATTTCATGCTCTGTGAAACATTTTCGACACTTCGACATTGCAACGGTAAAAACAGAAAGAATTCACGTCTAACAAGATCTAATTATTTTCTAAAAACTGAACTGCAAACCGTTAAATACCCAACGCTTTAGCAAAAATAAAACTTCTCTACTTACAATAAACAACTACCACGTGCGAATTTAAAGAGACGTCATAAATCACGCCATTCCGAAGCATTTATTTCCCATTTTGTTTATATAATCAAAAACACGTGTATGTGAGTCCTGCTTCTCTCATTTCGAGGTCTAATGTACATGTATGTGAAACCATATGGACATACAGTGCCATCTTGTGGCAGAAATTAGTTTTTAAAACGTTCCAGGACACTGGCACAAATACGTGACAGTCGGGGCTGAATGGGAAAATGCTCTGGCACGCCTGCGTGTCGGCCGGGAAGTGAGTGTGTTCGTTGCTGGCACGCAGACGTGACGGTCGGCGCGAAGGGGTTAGGGAAATGTCTAGCTACTTTCAATCCCATCCCCTCAAACCCTTGTCGCACTTGCAACTGCTTTGCAAGAGCAATGGCTCTC